AGTATTTCCATGGCTTCCATTTACTTTTTTCGTGAGTTTGGGTGTAATTTGTGGCTTGTCTATGTGTGGGTCCAATTGTCCATGGCACCTGCGACACAGGGTTGTGTAAAAAAAATCGTCTGAAAACTGCACTTCAAAAGTAAGATAAAAATTTGGTGTTATTTCTAGATAGCGCTAAAAATCGCGGAGCAGCATCAATTATTACCCAAGCACCGATTACGTTCGTTACGCGAACAGCTGAGGAGTGTACTCTGCCGAGTTCCGTTTTTCGAAAAATCTTTTTGAGATCGGTGTGAACCGGTCTAGACGAATATCTATTATTCTCTTAAATATCTTCGCTTGCCAGCAATTGAGATTGCAGAAAAACGTGAGCTTAATTGCGCAAACTACGCTAAATCTAGTTGTTGCGCTTTATATTGCAAGATGGCAATAAATTAGACGCTATAATTTTCAGTATAACGATTGACGTTCTATAATTCTAATAAACCCTGCGTCATAGTTAAACCGCATTGTAACTAACAGCAACTTACGATTTCATTTATTTTGATAACATCCGTTCAAGTGGTTACGTACTTAAGTTTAGTGCTTGGTAAATATAAACAAGTAGGAATAGATCATCGAAAAGATGAATGCAGAGGAGACGACCGTTACAAGCAGATTAATTTCGTATAATATACTTTGCAACCGTGGTATTATTTATGTCTAATACAAGGAGTTGTTATTCAGTCACATTTCAGTTGGATTTGGAACAGAGATAGAGAACAAGTTTTTGCTAATAAAACCGGAAAGAACGTATATCTGCAGCGAGTTTGTAAAGCAAGCATGTAACGCCCCTGTCTTTTAAATTTTGTATCTTATAGGGTGTTACTTGGTGGTAAATTTTACGATTTGATGTGTATTAGCTTTTGATAAACATCCTCAACTTTCTTCTAATTGTGTTGTCGAACATTTTCATAAAGTTATCTTTAAATTTATAAGTACACTGAGGACCTACTCTGATCAACCTTCCAGGACCAGTTTATTGTTCGAAACGTGCGTTAAGTACACAACGTGAGTGGCAACTTTCACCGTCACAACTGCACTGTGGTTAGCTACAGCGACATCCGTCAAATACTTACTTGGAAGTAAAATTATCAAAGTCATAAAACTCTTTTTTAATCTGTAGTGCGTTTTTTTTTACGGTTTCTATTGGCGGTAATAAAGATCGAGTGAAGCGACGTGAGTATATCCGAAACTATACAAGAGCTCATTTACATAATTCGCGCAAAAAAATCAACCCAATTCGTATGGCTTGGAGTGTACTAAGGTGTAAAAAACGCACACGAAACCAAATATTGTCGTAACTCAAAATTGTTTAAATTGAGAAAGCACGATTTGAAAATAAAAAAAATACTGCATGAAATCAATATATATATATTCTCATCTAAAATTTGATAAATATGTATTAATGTATAAATAAAAATAATCACATTATTACCAATATCAATATTTTTTACGTTTTCAAATTGTGTTTTCTCAATTCCACAATTTTGAGTTATAACATTTGGTGTCATGGGCGATATATTTGGAACTAAGTATGAGGACCATACGTAAAGATATAAAATATGTAAAAAATCCAATTTGCAGTTCAAAAAGTGACTTATATGGCTAATCTCAGCCTCAACTGAGTGTACTAAAGACGAAGTAGTAACAAAATAGCATGATCTTCAAGGCTTCGAGGTTCGCGAATTAACACTCACAATATTTATAAAATTTTCCAAAACGTTAAAAAATTAAAATCCAAAATCGCGTAAGCCTTCCTAATCATTTGAAATCGTATAGCATAATTATCATTACATCATATCGCTGGCCTGCTCCAATCGTAGTTGTAAGTTAAGGACAGATAATGGTCGACGCAAGACTCGTGACGTCATATCGCCGCGTCACTCACACGCCGCTACGGATTTGTAAATGAATGGGCTTCTACTATTGTAATCTTGGATGCCTTACATTGAGGATCAGTGTCAGCATGAATGGAATTCGCTGATGGTGGCAGGGTGAAGGATATTGCTAGTATCAAACATCTTTGTTTGTATTCGCACATGCACATGTTGGTGTCTGAAATAGACACACGTTTTTTAAGAGCAAAGTTGGGATGACCAACTTTATTATTGTTATTGTCGGAGAAATCTCAATATCACAATAACTTGTTGGGCTAAAACACGTATTAATATTTCCACTGTACTTTAACATCAACATTAAATCAAGTCATTACAATTTATATTAAATAACTAAGATATTTATATCAGATACAATAAAAACTCAAAATTGCCAAGTAGTTAAATAACTGATTAAATGTAAATAGTAATTAATAATTACAATGACGAAAAAATTAAGTAGACTAATTAATATATCATGTAACTATGTGAGGCCATGACAAAATACAGACATGCAAGATATAAACCGTAAAATGTTATTTTATATAACTGCCTCTGTGGCCGAACGGTCACCATGCCGGACTGCCACGCAGAGGTCCCAGGTTCTATTTCCGGGGCGGGATAAATATTTGCATGGGCTACATTTACTTCTCTCGTGAGTTTGGGTGCAATTTGTGGTTGTCTATGTGCGTCCATGGCACCCGCGACACAGGGTTTCCCTAGTGCGGGGCTATGTCGAGTGTGTGTGTTGTTATTATTATTATACATTAGAAATTAAAAACATTAAACAAGCATACCAAACAGCAAGGAAAGTGTGTACATACACCACAAATACAAATTATATTTCATACATATTATTACATATAAATAATCATTAAAGTAAACTAAACATTAAAAAAAATAAACACATCAAAAGACTAAACATAAATGATGAAGCAAGATTGGTTTTTACCCTAAATTTACCATAGCTTGTTATAAAATGGCTGCAGTAGGTACACTTGACAGGTCAATGAACTCTTTTGCTTTCACAGTTGAAGGTCAGCTGGATAATACTAAACTAAAATTATAATACAACTGGAAATCAAGACTCACTCAGAGTTGAATTCATTTAAATCTTATAACTATATGCATAAGCATCATTTTCTGGTAACTATGCATATGGAATTCACAAACTAGATTCAACTGGTTACAAATGGGTAGCAATCATACATGCTAATCTATTGATCTTATGGAATATATTGTCTATGTTGACAAAGGCAAAATAAATGTTTGTCTATGCACTTACAGACAAAAATATTTATTTTCACACATTCAACAGGAATATTGGTAACAAGAATGGAATATTTCTAGTGAGTACATTATTATAATAATGTTATAGTTAAATTACTATTTTTACTTCATATCATTTTATAGCGAGCGGTAAAATGTTAATTCATTAGTAAGAACTTTATTTTCTCCAATTATATTTCAAAGCATTAATAAAGGGCGTCATTTTGATGTTGAATCAAAAGGCGAAATGAGTATCATAATAATAAAACTAAAATATTTTCATTAAATAAATACATGACACAAGAACAATTGGGCATAGTTAAGCAAAAAGGATCCAATCCACAAAATTATCAAAAAATGAGTTACAACCAAACGGTTCCTAAAGTCTAACCTCTTAGATCAGCAAAAAAATCCAACATATAAACATAAATACATATCTATGGAGTTACAAGACTTTATAAGTTTTGAAAATAAAACAAGAGTGAGAAACACTTTTAAACTTCAAACTGCCATATCTCGAAAGTGAGTGGATGTGGATTGGCTCCTTTTTGTTTAACTAAGTCCAATTTGTTTTAAATGGTCAAATAAAAAGCATGTAGATAATTTAACTAATGTTAAATGTTTTCAGCTAATGCTGAAATAATGTTTTTCTGTCTTTTTAATTTAAATGTAATAAAGCAAAACAAATATGTATTGCAAAAAGGATGTAAATAGGAGGTTTTAATAATAAGTAGAAAAGTAAATACTGATAAATATATCCTTTAATTAAATTTTTAACCAATGTTTAACAGCAGAATATCATAAAGCAAATAGAAGGTGACAGTAACAGATGTGAGGTTTTTAATTTTCACAGGTGTATATTAAAACTGGTAAATTGATTCATTGGTAAAGAAAAAACTCAAGGTGCTGAATGTGGGTCATTCTATATCAGAGGTACAACAACTGTATGTAATTTTTATAAGGTCCCTAAAGAAATGATAAGCCAAATTTGTTTTTTTTGGATTTTTAAAAATTAACACTTTAGAACTCAGAACACACTTTAACAGCAATTTTCAGGCTATACTACTAGAAGTAAATGAATAAACATTACCATAAAAAGTACTATAATTTCCATAATGAAAAATCTGCAGCAATATCACAATATGCAAATATGGTAATGTGATAGGAAGTTGTCAAGGAAGAATTAATCGACATTCGGCGCGGCAACGGTGGAGCACGAGGCGCCTGGGTACCTGGGTACACAGCGGCGCCTCCACCGGCCGCCAATCCGGACTCCCGAAAGTCCCACTAATACCAAAATTGAATCAAAACAGACACTTCTCAATGCCCCAAGCAACTTTAACACACCCTCGAAATCAAATGACGCCAGACGCGCCAAAAAACTAAAAATCCAGCACCAAAATGTTTTGACAACAACGAATATAACCTAAAATCTCATGTCAAAACTATCAAAAATCCAATAACGAACCCAGAAAACGCTATATCACTATTAGATAATTGAAGCAGCTTCACGTCTTGCCACCCGCACACTGATACGCAAGCCGATATTATGATACCTAGACACAAATGCTAATGTCCTATTTGACGAAATTTGGTAAAATAATACAACTTCACCGCAAACCAAAAAACACCGCCACAGTGTAAACAAAACCTTTGAATTTACATTGAAATTGAGCGAAATCTTTACATGTAACGCTATAGAACTAATTAATATGAACAATTAATGAAGGTACGACAATCAAAGCAAAGCACCGCTAGTCGGCTGGCGGTGAACCGGCGAAGCTACAACAAAAATAACCAATTATTGGTACTTACCGCCGACTCTGTACATATTCGCAGCCATTTTTATACACAATCACTATTCATTAACACTTAATTAATCTACATCTGACACAATTAATAACTATAACACTATGTAATTGAGCTTTTACAATGTTTTTCATCACGTTAACTCCGGACGCCTTTCGCTGATCGCCATTTTCTTTCACACTACTAATTTGGCCAGTGCGCAGTCGCACTTTTTGGCGTAAACTTCTTACTCTTGAAACAAAGCAATGACATTTCATTAATTTTGTATTCACTAATTATATCAAAAAGTTTATTGTTTTATAGTAAAATACGAGATATTTTACAATTCATGTCCATAATTGAAATAATTTACTATTTTGTCTTAAAAATAAAAAATATTTCATTCAATAACGTTCCGTTTCCATATAAAGAAGCGTTTGCAGTCATTCGGGATTTCAATGATCAAATCTTATTAATTTAGAATTTACATCAAAAACATTTCAACATGATTTATTTTTATTTTTCTTAAAAATTAAACAAGTTATTTGTTGAGCATTTAAGGTTTTTATATTTTTTTCTTCTGTCTGAGTCAATTTTTACTGTTTCGTTAAAAAAAACTGCGGGCAACGAAGCATTGATTTTAAACCATAGACACCGACGCTCAAGCCGCTGCTCTAGAGTTTGTGGTCATGCTTGTTTACATCGCGACATTTCAACCAATTTTAATCAGTCTATAATATATTTTTTTGAACAATAAAAAGCATATTTTGTATTTATTTTGTCTGGAATTGCTATTCTATCAGACCAGCCCCCTTTACAAAATTAGGTGTCTTTAAACGATCATTCGGCCACACAAGAAGCTAGTTTAAGTTACTTTTGTTAACTACTCTTTTTTTAATAACCGATTATTCTTAATATTATTAATTATGCGTAAAAATTTAGGTGTCAAAGATTGAACCAGACAGTAGCTGTGTATCAACTGGACAACTAACTGGTAGAGTTTCTTAGCACTTACATTTAATTTAAAAACTGAAAAACTTTTATTTTGCGCATTTCTTAATAATTTTTTTATTGTGTCAGTTGATAAACTATTTTGTTTTTTACCGCGGATTAAAACAACAATCTATATATAGCCATACACGTCTTTGTCGTTGTATAGCATGAAATATAATAGTCCGTAAAGGCTCAAAAGGACGTCAAGCTAGAATGTGAAGACTTGTAATTTGAACTCTATTCTACATTGTGTTCAAAACGTTCCAAAATCCCAAGCTTGACATGCTCTTGACATACATACTACAAAATTGTGATTTGCAACGTGTGCGGCACAAACTATGCTGCGCGGCATAGTGGTATTTATTAAACGGTGCACTGCAAATGACAACGTTCCATAAACAAAATTATAAAAAAGATCTATGCCGCTTCGCTGCATGCAAAATCAAATTTTATTTTCATTGTTGTTATTTTTGATAAAAAATTGTGTAAAATTAAAATTCTATGTTCTTACGTGTAGATAACTGCGGAAAAATTTAATAAATATTTGCAACAGAATTAGTGCGTTTTCCTAAATGACGTGGCCGAAGCGACAGCGGTTTTGTCTATGATTTTTGACAATTGCCAAATCAGCCAGACTCGCCCATCTGATGAAAACTGTTGAAAAATCCGATATTACTCAATTATCTGAATGAACACATGGTGTTGCGGTGATATATTTCGTATGTAATTGTTCTCAAGTCGCCGTATCTTTATTTGGTAAGTAGAAGTGATATTTTTTGCCAGTATTGTGCATCGTAGTACGACGTTGTGTTTTTGACGATATTTCTCTTGTAGATCGGCATTATGGCGACGTACGAGGAGTTTATGCAGCAGAATGAAGATAGGGACGGCATACGGTTCACGTGGAACGTATGGCCTTCGAGTAGGATAGAGTCTACACGGCTCGTGGTACCGCTGGCATGTTTGTACCAGCCGCTGAAAGAACGCCCAGATTTGCCCCCTATCCAGTACGAACCAGTGCTCTGCACACGTAACACATGCCGAGCCATACTCAACCCAATGTGCCAAGTTGATTACAGAGCCAAATTGTGGGTCTGTAACTTCTGTTTTCAAAGGAACCCTGTAAGTATTCTATTAGTGTAAATAATCATGTGTTTTTGTAAACAGCTATATTAAATTATGAAATTACCTTTACACAGGGTGTAACAGAAAGGTGTGGTCATATTTGAAGGTCGGATTCAGTTAATGGTATGAAACTAGTTAGCATAGTTGTTTTAGTACACACTACATTATTTATGGAAATTTCGCCATTCGAACAGTTACGATCAGCTGATGTCATTTAACGCAAATCTCTATTCTGAGTTAATGTAGTAAAGACAACTTTCATTCCAAAATCACAATTCGTAGCGACCAAAATGCTATACTGTATATGAAGGCCTACTCTCTATGTGTTTCGTTTGTCCGAAAACTTTAATTTGACACCTTGTCTCGCCGGATTAAGAGTCAAATAAAAAGTCCGTCCGTCCGAAATCACATCTAGAGTAAGGCCCACGATCCCGCATAACTGTCGCAATTTCAACATCGCTTGAGTATCATAATACAACCAAATTATGTAACTTGAAAAAATTGTGAAATTCAGGCATGTTATTGTAAATGATAAAGTACTTAATGCCATATTCTTATTACTATGTTGTAATTTATTAAATTTATTATTATTTTATTCATGTAATATGTGTGTGAACATTTAATGAAAAATAAATATTATCGATTACTTTGCCAAAATACACTACTTCATAACAAAACTATTATTTAAAACTTAATACATGATAATGTAATATGGTTTCGTTAACTTCATATCTACAAACATACAAAATACACAAATTTCCATTTAATATCCATTAATAAAACTAATGTCCTCTAAAAAACACATATTTAAAGTTATCTCTGTTTCTTTTTACCATATCATATGTAATAATATGCATTCATCTATTGTATTTTAATGAATGAAATTTGTCTCTTTCTATGCGTTGGTACTGTTCTAACGCATGGCGGCTAGCGAATCTGTCGGTATGTTTCTTCTAACGCATGACGCTATATGACGCAATTATCTGACAAATACTTCGCACCCTTACAATGAAAGCGACCCAAATTAAAAAATTAGTTTATACCGTAAAACCATCTTAAAAAAATATTTTGTTACATTAGTCATACTGTGGTGAAGATGAAATTGTGCAATTAAAGCTCGAATAGCACTGATTCATAAAGGTCCCTTTCATTTTGTTCTTTCAGTTAAAAATTGTACTGCCGCGTCGAAATATTAACGCCGCATTTATTGTTGAATCTGCATTTGCAAAGACAACACGCTGCCACTGACGGATTAGTATTTGAGCCATTTTCGTTCCGAAAATCATACTCAAAAATCACTAGTAGCAGTAGAGCTCCTTGTGAGTTCGTCCAGGGTAGTACTGCCACTTTACCGTGTTACAGTTTTGAAGGGTAAGGGTGCTGGTGAAATTAAAGGCACATGGGACTTGTCAACTATGTCTCAGAGAAATGGACGCCGTCGCAGTAGCCTTCGAGCGGCAGTGCTACTGTTATGGACAGGCGTGACGCTTTCCACCGGGTACACGACTTGTTCGACCCGTCGTCGCTTAATATTTAAAATATATATATTTTTTTAGTAACTTACTTTTTTGTTTCGTGGACTTTAATTGTGAAACAGGGACCACAAAACAATATCAAGGGTTATGACATCTTGCTTAGCTGATGAACATTAAAAAGATTTACTTGGTACTTGGTGTAATGGGCTGGTGTCCGCAACTCGACGTCAAGGCGCCTATTTTGCGTGAAAAGACTTAATTTTAATACGTTACTTGATAAAAAAAAATCGTTAAAAAAAAGACCTATTGGCGACTAGTTTTTGTAAATTATGTTTTTAAATTGTTGAACATTAAAATGATCAGAAACAATTTTCAGTTGTAAAGTTCCATTTTTCCTCATTATTTTCAAAGACTAATAAGGCCATCACCTTTAGTACTTCAAGAGTAATAAATAAAATAATATGAAAATGTCACTAGTTGAAATCTTATTTTGCGTATTCCCAAAAAGTTGAAATATTGTATTGGGACACTTTCATCGTAAAGGTGCAACCTGAAGGTCGGCAAACGTCAAGAAATTAGTTTTGATCGTTGACCACGAATTAATTATTGTAATTTTCATCACTTGCTCGGAAATGAAAATATCGTGAGAAAACTTGGATTTCGGAGATAATTGCCGAAATCTTCAAAGATGCGAGAATGTCAAGTCTCCAACCAGTATTTACTATGCAAGTGTAGTGGACTAAATCTTGTGCAAAAAATAGTACTTTACTAACTTACATACGTCTATTGCTGAGCACACGTTTCTAACAACAGGTTTACGCTTAATTTGACTTATCTACACACGACAACTTTCTGTGTATGTGAAATTGAAATAATTAACATCCGTTGAACTTATTAAGGTTCTTACTTCCTAATAATATCTACTCAGCTAAAGAAATATTTTAGAATAGTTTAAATTAGCAATAGTGTAAAACCATAAAAAATCTTACCTAAATAAACAAAGTATCAAGATTAGTCGCCTTGCGTACGCGATACGTAATCGTAGCGAACTTTAGCGGCAACTTTAGCGGCAAAAATATCACCTACATCGTGATGTGGAGTAATGGTTAATGTTAGACTCGTTTCGGAGGTCGTAGATTCGATTTTCATAGTTGACTGGCTCTATGATGTAGTTGCCAGAGTGTTAGGTTTTCTTTTTGGATGTCGTAGATTTGATTCCCATAGTCGACTGCCTCCATAGTCTAGTGGTTAGAGCGTTAGGCTTTCTTTTCGGAAGTCGTGGATTTGATTCCCATAGTCGACTGCCTCTATGGTGTAGTGGTTAGAGTGTTAGGCTTTCGTTTCGGACGTCGTGGGTTTCCGATGGGTGACTGCCTCCTTAGTGCAGTATATCCGTAATCACCCAGTCAGTTCTTGCGTTGTGTGGAAGTGGTACGGGTGATGGTCAGAGCTATGTTTACAAACAAAGGCGTATGCAATGGAACGTTGAAGGTCGTAGATACGTAGGATATAGGTATTCGTTTAATGTGTATGTAATGATGTAATTTGTATCATGAGAAGGGTCTTATTTTAAAAGGATGGTAATAATTTTAATTTCCCTGTAGGTACATTATGAAAACGTTACCCTTTATTCCAAAATTTGCGTTTCAGTCGGCGTCCTTTGATGTGCCGCCGCTGAGGCAGAGGCACTATTTTTTTATTTTTTGTAACAGTCTGTAATTGCCGTTTGCGTTGTGAGGACTAAATAGGTGTCATCGTTTTGTTTGTGTCTCGTTTTTGTGTTTATTTAAACTATGTCACGCTTAAGCAATAGTGATTACTATGAGACGATGTTGTGCGTAAGCGCAGCCGATGGGAGCTCGCGCCATACTCGCCAAATTTATTGGGCAAAGTTTATTGATGGCGTCCCAAAAAATCGACATCGACCATTTCCTACTCTGGAATGCTTCAGGAAGATGGTTATGAGACTTCATAATAGTGGATCGTTCCGTGGTTCCAGTTCTGAAGGCCGGCCGAGTTCACGAGACCCAGAATTCGAGGCAGATGTTTCGGAACATTTTCTCGGCAATCCAAAGACAAGTATTCGTCGTTCTGCGGCAGCCTTTGGTGGTGTGAACCATATGAGTGTGTGGCGTGTGCTACGGGATGATGGCCAGCACCCATACCATTTTCAAAGAACGCAGGAGCTGTTACAAGCGGACTATGATCCACGTTTGGCATTTTGCCGCTGGTACCGCGACCAGGTTGGGAGGTCTCCCGACTTCGCTTCGTCGGTACTGTGGACAGACGAGGCGTCATTTACGCGTGCGGGCATTATCAATATGCATAATGAACATTTTTGGACTCATTTGAATCCCCGCGTATCAAGGGAATCAAATTTTCAACACCAGTTATCGGATTAACGTGTGGGCTGGTATAATAGGTTGTGCCGTCATCGGTTCAGTGTTTTTGCCGGCAAGTCTGAATGGGGCCAATTATTTAAGATTCCTAACAGAAGACTTGGATGACGTTCTGATGGCCCTGCCAGTGACACAATACGTGAGACTCGTGATGTAACACAGGATGACTTTCCAGCACGATGGAGCACCCGCACATTTTGCTCGAAATGTACGTTCCCATCTGAACGACCGTTTCTCGCAGTGGATTGGGCGGGGAGGTCATGTATCCTGACCAGCGCTCAATTTTTTTTTACGGGGTCATATAAAAAATATTGTTTATGCGGAGTCCTGTGAAAACGCAGAAGAAATGAGGCAGCGAATCGAAATGGCGTTTAGTCAAATCACTCGGCAGATGCTTCAAAGAGTAGAGCAGTTTCTGTACCGACGCACGGAAATATGCATATTGCATGGAGGTCGGTATTTTGAACCTTACCTGTAAATGCGTGAAATGTGCCAGCAGTGCGTGCAGTGATTGTACTTATTATTTAAAATTATCGTAAACAAGTCAATATTTCGTACATTGTACAACAGTGAATTACAATTCATAGGAAATTCATTAAAACGTGTACGAATTGAACAGTAGGAGGAGGAGGTAGTAACCAATTAAAAAAGTATCCACTTTTGTAAAATTGTCGTAAATAAATGTATTAATACTAAATTATGTAGAATGTGTATACGATGAAGGCGTGCGTAACTACGGGCTTAATAAGTAAATAAATATTCTTTAAATTGTATGTAAATAAGTACATACGCGTACCTAGGTATGGCATAAAATAATATTGTTAGAAATAAAACGATTTTTCTAGGTATTTAAAGATTTTGTTACTTAATATTTACGTATTATCAACATATTCAAATCATGTTTTTACAATGGCATTTCAATTGTAGTCAGCTGTTCTTTCGCCCCGCTCGCTTGCGGCCGCCCAGGTTTCATGAATGAATTTGTGAAGTCGTAGT